TAAATAAATTCTTTAAACGTTGATAATGAAAAACCAAGATATTTTGTCACCAAAGTAAATATCTGACCACCAAGAAGCCACGAGAGTGTTCATTTTTTTTTTTAAATCTTTTAAAGATTTATATTATTTTCATCTTAAATTAGTCCTATCATTTTAATTCATTTTAAGTCAACTTAAAGATTTCATCAATATGAGCATATTATTTCAGCCTTAACGATTTAATATATGTTATCAAGAATAACAAGAATCATAGCTGACTTGTCACAGATAATTCCTATCTGAAATTAATTCTTGTTCGTAGTCTCACAAAAACGCTCACTAACACTCTACATTTTTTTTTATAATTTAGTGAACTGTGAGACTTATACAAAAGTATATTTGAAAAAATATTATGATTTTTTGAAACCCAAATTTAAAAAAATATGTAAATCACTGTAAAACACTGATATAATTTCAAATGTATCACTTCATTGCTTAATCTCCGAAGTATTATATTAATGTTTCGTTCATCAAGATGAAGACAATTGGAAGGTTGACAAACGAAGTGGAATATTTTTTTCATGTTAAAAGCTCATTTAGAATATTTGAATTCAAGCTAAATGCATTCTATATTTATTCATAGAATGAGTACCTTGTAATCGTTATCAATAAGGGGGCGTTCATTAATTACTTGATCAATTTTTTAAGGATTTTTGGACCCCACTTTGGTATTTTAGTTACTAGAAAAAAATGTAAAATTGTTGATTTTTTTTGAAAATGTTCGAATTTTTTTTTAAATTCAGGTAAAAAATAAATACACATGATATCTTAATATACTCCTCCCTCCCCCAGGTGATATTTCGTGATTTTTTATCAAACACTCTCCCCCCCCCTCAAAAAATCTCACGTGAATGACCTAAAAAGTCGGCAAATGTTCAATCAAATTGGTTAAATCATTTAGATTTTAAAAAGTAAATCATTATTAATATATTTGAATATAAAATAATGTGATCAGAAAAAAGCACATTGTTTCCTAATTACATATAATCAGTGTAAAGGAAAAACGTTAAATAAACAAACATTCAATCTTCAAAAATCATCCAAAATAAGTATTTAGAAGGTGTTTAAAGTATGAACTACGTGTATAATTTTTATTATAGATATATAATTAGAAACTTTGTAAATTGTTGAGAAAACTCGTAATAAAACTGTAAGTTAAGAAGGATATCGACGCTTTTTATGTTATACCGTAACTGACATCTCAGTAGGATGGTTCAAATATAATGCAATTTCCGTTAATATGCGAAATCGATTATTACATAGAGAAAATCGCCATATGAAGAATGGATTACATATTAAAGTATTACGATATTCATTATTATTATGTGTTGTGTACAATACGCGATGGTCGAAAGTGACTGCACGATTTCTTGCCCTTGGGAAAACCACGCTCTCATGATTCGAATTAATTGGCTGTGACCACATTAGTTGTTAGCATTTTTTGGCTAATTTAAATTTTTGGTTATATTTGATAAATTTTGTCTGTTAAAATTTTATCAATATTTCTAATAAAGCTTCGACTTTAGATTCTGAAATATAATTTCTAAGATGGCATCTTAAAAGCATGATTTTATATTGTTGAATATTACATACTAACACTGTTATTAATTAATGTGTAGTAATTAACAATTAATATTAATTGCATTAATATATTATTAATTAATTATTGATTGCTATATATCTGTGAAGGATAAACATATTAAGTATTTTATGTAGTAGTTGGATGATTGTTTGAAAGAAAATGCAATGATTTTTAAAATATTAATGATTATGTTTGAATTGAAAATTATAAAAAAAATCAAATAACTTAACATTTACTAGAAGAAATATTACATCTTTTTGAGGCTTACTATGAAATGGCGCATTTAAAATATTTTCGAAATTCATTACCTTCTATATTTTTGGTTCAAATTCATTAAAGAAGTTACTGGATTGTAACGAAAAATTTGTGCTTGATATATGCTAAATATTTCATTCAGTTAAATACTAATATCTGAATTTTATACCAAAAATAAAATGACAATGTAAATTTTTGTTATAGTATCAAGGGTATTGAAATTAATATTTAAGCTAAAGAAAATAAAATTTTCAAGAATCTTTTCTGTGTGATTAACACAATGCTTTTGAATTGAATTCTAAAAATATTAGATATTTAACATATCCATAGCAACAAATTATATGAAAGTCCTCGTATAAATGTCTTTGTAACTTGTCTTTTAAATTTTTTCTAACATCCCGAAGAAGAAGTTGGTTTTCTCCAGAGAATTCAATTTGCTAATTTTATGATTTCTCGACGTTTCAAGTTATTCTGAATCGTTTGAACCTAAAATTGGTAAATTATGTGTGTGTATGAATGTTAGTGTGTATATGTAAGTCAACTTTTGACTTACTGTTGATGTTTTTTCAAAAACGACTAGTTCAACAATTTAAAATTCATTTGATATATCTTATATAAATGCTTACACATGGGTGGGGTAGAAAGGACCAACTGAACCTTCACCCTAGCAAAAGGCTAAACAATAAAATAGTAAGTTCAGTTAAAAAGCAATTTTATAAGAGATAAATTAACAAAATAATTATTTGAACTCTGTTGATGAATATTTCTTTCCAAATACCAGATCAAGGTTATATACCATGAAATCTTCGTGAAAAATGTTTTTGTAAAATTTGTATTTCGCATTGGTAAAATAATGTAAAAAAAAATTGTTTCGTAAACTTTCTTTAAAATTAAAAAAAGACATTGGATTTGCGCCCTGGCTATTCCTTCTTACCCCACCCATGGGGCAAAAAGAACCAGGTGACAAATTTTAAGAAAAACAGCACAAAAACACATCACAAATTTCTGCAATGATGAATTTGCTGGAGGTTTTACTGTACATAGTCGGATAGTTGTTTGTTTAATATGTGTTGCTATATAATATGCTTGATTTTTACAATATAATTTCTCAAAGTTAGATTGGGTTTTATTTAAAGTTAAATTGGTTATGCTCCGCCCTACCACACCCCTAATTTATTTTTACTTTTCTCTATACCCTAAACTATTAAACTTTTTTTCACATAATTCTTCCTATCAAATTTGAATCAATTTCCAATATCATATCTTTCTATACGGTATTACATTTCGTTATTGAATGACAATGCCAGGACTCGATCTGTGGATTTCTGGCATACGAGTCAGACATACTCTCATTAAGCTATTCCCATCCCAAACAATATTAGGTTTACATTATTATTACAATGATGTATAATATTTTTACAATTATTTAATAACAAACAAACGGTTTGTCAGATTGCATCATGCCCCCACAAAGTAAGAGTCGAAAAGTTAGAACCGATTTAAAACAAAAATATCTTATAGTTAAGTTCGTTTTCACGCCAATTCTTGCAACAATAACACCGCCATATACCCGTTTTGATTTGATACCCCACTCTTGTAAGAAGCTCAACGCGTACTGAAGATTGTAGAGAAGACAGTTCGGTAGACTTCAGTCTTCAATTTATTGAAGATATAGTAATGTTAAATGTCTCATATATTTACTTCGAATCATAAGTGTAAAAATTAATATTTTTTTGGTGTTGCTTTTGTGCAATTAAAATATTGTGATTAAAAACACAATAAAATATGTGATTACAAATCAGAGTGGTGAAAAATTGATTAAACTTATTTATAATATATACTGATGTGATAAACGTTTTAATTTGTCACTCAATAATTACAAACGAGTAAAAATTTTCTAATTCTAATTTCACTGTTACTTTACTGTTTAATAATCAAACATTTACGACATAATATATATGTATAGTTCCTTAGTGTGATTAAAATGTTGTTTTATGATGTTCTATTTCAAATATGCGCACAATTATTCTGCATTCGTAAGATATAAATATTAGCTGTAGTACGTGTAAATGAATATTAAATTTGTGAACA